TGTAGTTCACATAGAGAAAGGTTTTGGTGGCTTGAGGAACAGGCAGAATGCTGATCCCTCAGTCCGTCTTCCATAGATGTCCTGCCTCTGAGCTAAGCTTCTGAGAGATGAATGAGTTTGTGATTGCACTCCTCACAAATGTCTAGAGTGTAGCTCTTTTACACTGGCCATTAAAGCTGGAGCCTCATATACTGATAGACATTTGAGGCGAGAAGCTTGAAGAACCCCAGGCAAGCCTACAACGCCATCTAAAGTAGTATCATTCAGAGGGCACTCATGGAATCACTGGCCCTGGACGTTGGTCAACCACTTCCACTGAGACCTAGTATAAACATCGGACACCCCATGTACGGTCCCTTTCGACTCAAATTTCACTAGTTGTATTATAATATAAAAAAGCCTAAGGGTCCTCTGCCTTTTCTAACAAGGACCAGTCCAGTGCTTTCTCTCCTGAGATTTCAAATTGAAAATGGTCTAAGACTCTCATGAGCCAGTAAGTATAAAATCTGTTCTCTAGATTGGGTATTCCTAAAATGGTCTGACCATGGGCTAGAAAGACTTTATGTGCAGATATGAGAAAAAAAGTACTAAAAGTACAAAAGGCGTCTTAGAAAGATGAAGGGAATTTTTTTATTTTGGGGGGTTTGATTTACCTTATAAGGTCTGGACAGGTGGGGCTCCTGGTATCTCAGTTTAAGCAAGCCTGTCATCATCAGACCAAGCTGAATCCAGTCTGTGAACCCCACGTAGTTTATTAAAAGGATTAAGTCTGAGGGTATAATTAAAATGGAGGCAAAGATGAGCATCTGAATCACAGCTACAATTGGACAGGACTGGATATTGAGAGTTGAGAAGATCAAAGGTAGCTGGCCCTGTTGGCTTGCCATATACCACAACCTTGATGTTGAAAATACGGTACAGTTAAGGGAGCTAACTATTGAGGAAGAAACACCAATTGAAATGGCCCATTGCATGGAAGGGATTACTCTATCCATCCAGGTGACCGCAACAGCATCTGTAAAAAAACAATTAGAGAAGCCACTAATTATATAACTGACATAGTATTTTTTTTTGTGGTTCTTTTTTTTCGTATTGAAG